CTGGCAGAATTAAATTTGATAAAGGATAAAATCAATTTTAAAGCCAAGTCGCCATACATTAATAAAATTTAAATCAAGATAATTTTGTGCTACTTTTTCTTTTACAAAATAAACTAGAATAGCTAGGTATATGTGGTAAACTGAGTGAATGAAAATTGTTTATTGGGGGTAGGACTGGTGATAGAAAAGGTCCCTGCCCGACTGGAACACACGGAAAGTGGAGCTGGGGTTTATGAAATGCTGCGAAAGGAGACTCCACAGCCACAGAAGATGGAGAGTACTCTTGTTTTGGATCTTAAGTCCTGAACCCCATCATTTATTCTAAAATAGTGTGTAAAGGCCCTTTGAAGGGAGAGTCAGATGTGGATATAATTGGTGTTATTAAATCCTTTAATGATGATCTTTAATGATGTAGCATCAAGGTTTTAATCTTCTTTTGCATTCACTGATATACTATGAACACAAGAAACCAAAATTAAGGAGGTAAAGAAGGTAGTAGCAAAGGTCAGAATCTAATGTGGAAGAAAAGTTTGTTAAAATTTTTAAAAATTAAAACAAATTTAAATGGCATGAGTTTGTGCAGAAAAGGAGGAATTAGAGCTAAAATGTTCATTCTATTAGCAAAAATGAACACATTTCAATAAAGGATAATGGTACTGTGTTTATAGTTTTTAGAAATACACTTTGATTATACAACTAGATAGGCAGGCTATTAGGAAAAATAAAAGAAACTTTGTATATGGGATGTATTTAATGGAGAGATATTTTCCTGATGTGTCTTCTACATTTGGATATGTTCTTTGTTTTCAACCCAACTGGTAAACAAATGAAGTAATTCTATTCTCTCACAGCAAGAGAGGGGATATGAAATTACTTTCTCTGTTACTATTTAATGATCTTCTAAAACATTTATAAACCATCCTGCCCTATTTTGCAATTACATATATTTGATTGAGGTGTTGGAGATTTGGCCAAAATATTTATTTAGTTTCTAATAAAATATACAAGAGCTATCTCAGAATTAATCATAAACTAGAGTTTTAGACTTTGGTATTTCAGGCATTAGTTACTAAAATGACTTTTCTAAGATAGTTCTCCTATAGGGCACTGTCATTCTATGGATTTTGAGGACAGCTGTGTAGCAAGCAGGGTTCCAGATTGCTATCACTGTTTCTAATGACAATATGTGAAATGCCTTTTTAAAAATGTGTAACACTTATGATACCCATTCAGCCTATAGCTAAGTTTTGTTGGATGCCACATCATTTAGATTTAAGGTTCCAGTATAACATTATGTAAGTTTAAATCCAGAAGTTCAAATATTTGTGGTGAAGATATATATTTGAAGATACTTCTCTGCTTTATATGAATATATACAAACTCTTATAAACTTCCAATTTTCGTTTTATTTTATTTTTATTTAAACTTCCAATTTTTAAATGTCATACACATGGATAGCCAGTTCTGCCTTATCCCTAAATTTCCTGGCCCACAACCCAGATCATCCTGAACTGATGGTGCTGCGTGTGTGACTATTTCCCTACTTCTCCCTCAGTGAAATTGTGCCATCATCAGTATTCCATTGTATGGTGGCATGTATTTTTTTTAACTAGTATTCTGTTGATGGATATTTAATTTGTTTGTGGTTTTTTGTTGCTGTGAATTTCCTTTCATATATATCTTCTTGAATTTGTGTAAGTATACCCTTAAGATCAATTCCTAGCAGTGAAAATGCTTGATGTATCTTTTTTTTTTTTTTACATAATTAGAATGCTTAAATTA